GCTACTTTACTTACTGCACAGGACTTGATGTTTGAGCTTTAGGTGTGGCAACAATAACTATGTATATGTTTGATGTGGAAGTCCTTAGAGGGCATTTGAATTCAATGATTTCTAATTTACGAGAAACATGTTTGCTTTTTACAAATTAAATTTTCTCTTCCTTTGACACTTCCTGAATGTAATTACACAAAATCAATTATTAATGGATTTTTTTCTTATCTGAAAGAATCCAAAAGTTATTAAAAACTTTAAAAAACTTGCTGGGGATCATAGTCTGATGCTTTTGTGTGAGTAAAAGGATAAATATATTTGTGATTTGATCTCCCCAGTGTCTGCAAGTCTTCCACGTTTTTGAAAACAAAATACAACTGTATTCTGAATAATGGTATTAGATAGATTGTTACCTAGTGAAATAGCTTAAGGATTTATCATTCAACTGTTTTTTGTTACTGATGGCAACACAAATATGTTGTTCTTAGGTGCCATCAAGTGGGTTCTGACTCATAGCGCCCCTATTCACAACCAAAGGAAACACTGCTCGCTCCTGAACTATTCTCACAATCGTTGGTACCCCTGAGTCCTTTGTTGCTGCCACTGTGTCAAACCGTTTTATTGGGGGTCTTCCTATTTTCGCTGACCCTCCACTTTACAAAGCATTTACTGGTTGTTGTTGTTGTTGTTATGTGCTGTGGAGTTGGTTCCGACTCATTGCGACCCTGTACAGGGTTTCCGAGGCTGGAAACCTTTACGGGAGAAGAAAGCCTCATCTTTCTCCCGCGGAACAGCTGGTAGCGTTGAACTGCTGGCCGTGACATTAGCAGCCCAATTCGTAACCACTGTGCTACCAGAGCTCCTGCATTTACTGGAACCTCCTGATAGTATGTCAAAAGTTCAAGAGTTGAAGTCTTGCCATCTTTGCTTCTAAGGAGATTCTAACTATACTTCTTCCAAGACAGGTTTGTTTTTGTACTTTCAATTCTATTCCAACACCATAATCCAAATACATCAGTTATTCTGCAGCCTACTTTATTCATTGTTCACCTGTCACGGGATTTGTTGTTGTTGTTAAGTGCTGTGAAATCAATTTCGGTTAATAGTGACTCTGTATAGTGTTTCTGAGACGTAAATCTTTTGCGGGAGCAGAAAGTCTTATCTTTCTCCCATGGAGCTGCTGGCAGGGTCAAACCATAGATCTTATGGTTCCTAGTTTATTTCTTATCCTATGCATGCTTGAATTGGGAGTACCGTAGTCCTCAAACTGATATCTTTGCTCCTGGACACTTTAAAAGAGGTCTTGTGCAGCATATTTGCCTAATGCAGTATGTCGTGTGATTTCTTGACTACTTCCATGTGTGTTGATTGTAGATCCAAGAAAAATGGGGTCTTTGACAACTTCCATCTTTTCTTTGTTTATCATGATGTTATTTATTGGTCCAATTGTGAGGATTTTTGTTTTCTTTACAATGAGGTACAATCCATATTGAAGGCTATGGTCTTAAATCTTCATCGGTAAGTATTTTAAGGCCTCTCTTTGCTTCCAGTAAACAACATTGTATCATATACATCTTGAAGATTGTTAATGAGTCTTCTAATCCTAATGCCAAATTCTTCTTCATATAATCCAATTTCGGGGATTAGTTGCTCAGCATACAGATTGAAAACGGATGCTAAAAGGACACAACCCTGGCGTACACCTTTCCAGATTTTAAACCATTTAATACTCCCCTGTTCTAATTACTGCTTCTTAGTCTAATTATTGCTTTCCTCGTGAGCAAAATTAACTGTTCTGGAATACTCATTCTTTACGATGTTATCCATAGTTTGTATTGGTTCACACAGTGGAAAGCCTTTGCAAAGTCAATAAAGCACAAGGAACCATCTTTCTGGTATTCTCTGATTTCAGACAAAATCCATCTAATGTCAACAATGATATTCCTACTTCCATATCCCCTTTGTATTCCATCTTCTCCACTACACAGAGTCACTATGAATTGGAACCGAATTGACAGCACTTACCAACAGCAACATATATTTTAATTCTCACAATAATCCTGTGAGGAAGATGCTGTTTGCGTTATTATTTTACAGATAAGAAAAAAGAGAAATTGCCCCAGGTTATGTGTCAAGTTCTGGTGTAAGGCTACAGGTTAATGCACTGGATTGCAAACTCGACTTGAACAACAAGGTTGGCGATTCAGGCTCACCAGTCCCTTCTCAGAAATCCTATACAGGGTCACTGTGAGTCAGAACTCACTCAACAACACTTAACAACAATGTGTCAAGTAAGTGGTAAAGCCACTTACAGGAGTCAAGCCAACATTTTAATCCCGGAGCATAGCTCTTTGATCAATGTCTTACACAAATTCCTCTGTTTGACTTGGTTATTTATTTAGTGTAGGTAAAACCCACCAGTTATTCCTCAGAAACCTTGTGCAGTGTCGTTATGAGCTACAACCGACTCAATGGCACTAAACAGCAACGTATGAAAATGTTTGTTGTATCTGTCTTTATAGGAAAATTAGACATTTCCAGTTGATTTTATAGTTGAAGTGATAACATATGAATGAAAATTCTTTAGAGTAAAGGAATGACAATAAAATTCATTATATTAGATATTCTGGTAACCCAATTTCTATTGAAAAAGTCAAATAATTTATCAATGTGTAAATGTGCAAAAGATGAAGTCATTTTATGTATAACTACAAAAATAATTAATGCTTCATCTCTGTTTTGGCAGAATGAATATTTCAGATTTATAAATGATAGATGTCTCTCATACAAGTTTCAAAGTGCCATGGTGCTTTTGTGGTTCAGTTGTTGTTAAGTGCCGTAGTATTATCTAAATTAGAATCTCTGCCTGTGGATTGAGATTGACCATCTCTGGAAAGCTGTCAACTTTAACAATGGATGTTTTTATTTCATTCTAGGGGAAAATTTGCTGTGGTGAGAAAATGTATAAAGAAAGATTCTGGAAAAGAATACGCAGCAAAGTTCATGAGAAAAAGAAGAAAAGGTCAAGATTGTCGGATGGAAATAATCCATGAGATTGCGGTTCTTGAACTGGCTCAGGACAATCCTTGGGTCATTAATCTGCATGAAGTCTATGAGACACCATCAGAAATGATCTTAGTTCTGGAATAGTAAGTATTACTTTTCTCACATTGACTTTATTTGGTAGTCTGTATGCAACAATGGGCTCTAACATAGTACCGACCTTGAGGATGGTGAACCAGCGTTTGTGCTGTTGTACATAAGGTTCCTGTGAGTTGGAATGGACTTGATGGCACCTAACGACAACAACGTAGTCCCTTTATAGCTTACCATTCACCTGAAATAAGACAGCAGGGCGTATTTCTCCTTCATGTGTTCTTCTTATTAATTTTACATGCTTAAAAGAACACATGCATGTTAGATTTTTCATTTTCATTCTTTAATGAAATTCTCTGGTAATAATATAAGGTTTTTTTATGCTCTTGTTAGAGACATTCTTAGGAAGGAAAGTGAAAACATGAAAAAGTTAAAACAAAGGGCATTTAAAACCACTTACATGTTCAGGTCATCGGAATCAACATTGTCCTTTCTTTTAGAAACAAAAGTCTTGATTCAGACAATTCTTTCAGTTTGATTAAGTAAGTAGGTACCCAACAGTCGATGTTGTTGATGTTAAGTGCTATTGTGTTGACTCCCAACCCCTCATGACCCTGTATAGGGTTGGTGAGGAACAGCTGTTAGGTTTGAACCGCCGATCTTGTGGTTTGAAGTCCGGTGCTGATCCTAGAGCACCACACCAGGAGTCCATATACTTTAGTAAAGCCAGGTACGACCGGAAGGTTGGCAGTTCAAACCCAATCATCGACTCCATGAGAGAAAGGTCTGGCAGACTGCATCTGTAAAGACTGTTGTCATAGAATCAGTTCCAGTTTAAGGCAGTCCTCGGTGTTCTGGGTAGAACTGCCTCAGAGGGTTTTCTTGGTTTTCAGAAGAAAAGCCTATGGAACACGTCTACTCTGCAACATGTGGGTCACCATGAGTCACGGACCAAGTCAACAACGGCCAACAGCAACAGTAGATAACAGAATGGAACACCATTTTGTAAAATGAACAGTTATTTCTCATTAAGAAATCCTGTTATTCTTCTTCCCCTGCCAAGGGAAAAGATTGATAGATTTGAGTACATTAAATCTGAGTACATTAAAAGACAAACTCAGGGAAAAATAGTTCTAATGTCAGAGAGATTAAAATATCCTTACTACAAGGAGAGTAAGTCAAATAGTTTTGCTAATAGGGTTACAGTTCCTACATGCACAGGTTAATTCCAAACAAAATGTATTTAGACCTGCCTTTGTGATCAGTGAATGCTGCATACAAGTTATTTCAATAATACAGTTGTCTTAGAATACTTTGTTGTTGTTGTTAAGTACCATGAAGTCGGTTCTGACTCATAGCAACCCTGCACAGGGCTTTCGAGGCTGTGAATCTTTACACGAGCAGAAAGCCTCATCTTTCTCCCACAGAACCGATGGTAGTTTTGAACAGCTGACCATGAGGTTAGCAGACTGATTCGTAACCACTACACTACCAGAGCTCCTTTGTTGTTGTTGTTGTTGTTGTTGTTATGTGCCATGGAGTCGGTTCCGACTCATAGCGACCCTGCACAGGGTTTTCCTAGGCTGTAAATCTTTACGGGAGCAGAAAGCCTCATCTTTCTCTCGAGGAACAGCTGATAGTTTCAAACTGCTGACTGTGAGATTAGCAGCCTGATTCATAACCGCTATACTACCAGAGCTCTTTTGGGCTCCTTCAAATAAAACATCCCATCAAAACAGAGGAGTCCTGGTGTGTACTGTAGGCTAAGCACTGGACTGCTAACCACAGGTCCACAGTTCAAATCTACCATCCTTTTATCAAAACTACCCCAATACAGGGTCTTTATGAGTCAGAACTTACTCCAAGGCACTTAACAACAAAGAAAGTAGAAGTAATATTTAGTAGGAAGGTTGCTTAAATAAATGACATCATAAAATGCAGAGTTATATACTAAATATATCGACATAGAGTTTTTAAAAAATGCCATTATTTTCAAGAGCATTGTATATAGTAGCCTCTTGTTGCTTTTTCAACTTTATAGAGATGAAAGTATCTTCCTCCTGAGAGTATTACTCAAGAGCATTGGGTTCATATATTTTAATTGAATAATTTCACTTGTTAGGAACCCCTTCTTTTCAAAACATAATAAAATGTGAATACTGGGTACACAAAAGTTTACCACAAAGTTTTATTTGTTCTGTTTTGAATTTGTAATGGTGGCATGACTAAGAAATGTAGTGTATGTGAGTTATATCTTAATACATCTTTTTTTCTTTCTTAAATTTGATTGAAGAATGTCATATAAACCTACTGCCTACCTCAGTTTGGGCTTTTCCAGTTTGTTTTGCAGAAGATCAAGGTAGAATTCAAAATTGGTGTAGAAAATCCTCTGCAATATTGCTCTCTAACCAAGGTCTCCTTCCTCTTCCATTCTCACAAAACCTGTTCTGCAGCCTTTAATTCAGGACTCTTTTCTGTTCTTCCTGTCCTTCAGCCAGCTCCGGACTTGTATTTTCTTCCCTTTTAGTTCATCCTCTTCTTAGTCGTCATTTTAAGTCACCAACACCTCCTTTTCTTTCCCTACTCCTCTTGGTCTGCCTCTACAGGCCCTGTTGCCAGTGTGAACCCCAGAATATGTGGAGTGTGTTCACATAACTCTGCTGCTGCATTTTCTTGGAAGGGTTTGAGTCTGTGATCAGCTTCATTACACCTGTGAGAGCCTCATCAGGGTCTTGGTATAGTTCGCTAATTCTTTACTTGACCTCCCACCACCTCCTGTTAACATCCCCCTTGAAGCTCATGAAAACTTTTACCACACTTCCCCTGTTGTTAAAGGGGTCCTGGTAGTGTAGTAGATGACACGCTAGGCCTCTGACTGCAAGGTCAGTAGTTTGAGTCTGTCAGTCGCTCCTCAGGAGAAGGATGAGACTTTCTGCTCCTCTAGAGATTTACAGCCTCCGAAGCCCTGTAGAAGATCACTGTGAGTTGGGACCAACGCCGTGGCACACAGCCACCACCATGTTGCCTACTTGCCATTTTATATGAAACACCCAGCCTTTCCTCCCCTTTATGGAGAAAAGATAAACCCCTCTGCTTTCATCCTTCCCTGTCACTGCCTTTGCTGCTCTCACCCCCTCCCTTCTGTCTTAGAGAAAGAGACTGTACCAGTCTAAACTCTTCATTCATGTTCTTCAGTTGTCTTCTTTCAGGACCTGTGCTTCCGTTTTTCAGTCAGTTTCTTGACTCACTTATCATTTCAGTGCCTTCTAAAGTGGTTTTCTCTCCTTTCAATATTTTCTTCAATGGTTCAAAGTCTCTGCCAGTTTTGTGAAGCACCATTGAGTCAGTTCTGACTCATAGTAACCATTTTTGGGTTTCCCAGGAGTACCTGGTGGGTTTGAACCACTGGCCTTTTGGTTAGCAGTCCAGTGCTTATCGTATGATACCACACCAGGAAGGAGTCTCTGATATCCTAAAATTGCTTTTTGTCAATTCTGATTTGGATCTACTGCCTTGTCATTCTGTTTCCTTTACTGTAATACCCCTTAAAAGAATCCTTTGCAGTTACAGTTTTGCTGACCTTCCAATCTATCTTGGACTACTTCATCAATCCATTCATCTCTTCATGTGTCAATATCTCTTCCATTTTTCAGTCGATCACCATCTGCTCTCTCAGTCTTTCATGAGGCCGCCAGCCCATTGGCCAAAATCAATCACCTCATTTTAGTAATCATTCTCCTTCATTTGTTACTCACTTTAAGCACATGAAATTAATACCATCTTATTCAAAGTACGTTCAGCCCTATTTTCAAAAATCTTTTCCTCCTCTCATCTCTGTTCTCAGCCTTTATCTCTCTTTGTTGTCATATAAGTGTTCCTCAGAGTTACTTTACTGTTACTGCCATCATTCCCCACACTTCCTCTGGATGATCACAGTCTATCTCTGTGACTTATTTCCAAAGTTTATTTCTGACTTCAGCTCCTCGCATAAGCCTCAGTTGTATTTTTCCAGGTGCCTACTACATGGGCCTGTGTGATACTTCAGTGTTTTAATATATTTAAAGTTCTTCATAGGCCTTCTGATGCATGTTTTTCTTTTGTTCCCCATTTCCAGTGATGCCCTCTTGATTTACTTACTCAATCTACAAACCTTGAAGCTATCCTTTGATTTCCGCTATCTCCTTTAATGCTCATGTATAATGGAGTCCTGGTGTGGCGCTATGGGCTAATGCATCAGACTGCAGAGTCATTTGAACTGCAAGGTTGGTGGTTCAAGCTCACCAGCTGCTCCTTGGAAACCCTATACAGAGTCACTATGGGTCGGAATCGACTCGACAGCACTTAACAACAACAACATAATGAATTAGCAAGTCTTACATATTCTTCCTCTAAAATTTTTCCCTGAGTCTCCCCCACCCCCCTTTTTTTGTGTGTGTTTGCTATTTTTCCTCTCTATTGGGCCCTTGTTCTCTGTTTCACAATAGCTTCCTGGCATATCACCCTCCTGCTCGATCTACTGGAAAGGTCACTAAAACATAGATGTGGTGATATGATCCCCTTGCTTATAAAACTTTGGTAGCTTTTATTACTTTGATGATCAAGTTTTCACAACCAAAAATCAGTATGATTTTTCCCCCCCAAATTTTTATGTTCTAGTTTTAGTTTGAGGAGGAAGTCTTTGAGATATACTTTGGACACTGAGATATCAAAAATTTCAGCCACATCAATAGATCATAATTGAAACAGACAGGATATGATTACTGTATCAGTTACCTGTTCCACATACACTTAAGCACCTGCCATGTGCACTAACTACAAATTGTACTGGTAATATTCAAGGAAAAATGACATAGTCTCTACCTTCTAGGTTTTAAAGTCTAATGGTGGAAATACAGAGATAAAAATGATTGTAGCAGTGTTTTTTTTTTATTTTTCATTTTCCTAGAAATTCTTATTAGTTCCTGTCAAATATAGAAGAAATATTAGTCACAATGTATTAAGTATTTACTATGACAGCTAGCCCACCACTCATCTATCAGTCTGTCGTACTGTG